TTCACTAGGGGCACTGGGGAGGTGAGAGGATCTTGAGGGCAGACCCATGCATCCAGCCCAGACATCCATTAGGGCAGTTTGGGCCTTCCAAGAACAGAAACAGGGGTATACTTGCATGCTATTTACTGCAGGAGGGTGGTCCTTATCGAGGGTGGCATTGATTCAGGATGCCTTCAAGACTAGGAGAGAGAGCTAATTGGCAGGCTGAGTCTGAATGCAGACAACACTTCCAAGAAAAGACTTGGCCAGTGGGGACTCCAGGACAGCCGAAGTCCTTGCTGGATGGTGTCCATACTTTCTTCTTCTTCCTTTTTAAATGTGCATTGGTGTTTTGCCATGGGTGTCGAGTCTCCTGGAACTGGACTTACAGACAGTTGTGAGCTGTTATGTGGGCTGCTGGGATTGAACTCAGGTCCCCTGGAAGTACCATCAGAGCTCTTAACCATTGAGCCTGTCTCCAGCCCCAAGCCCATACTGTTCTGTACCCACTCAGGCATTGGTGCTACGGGGCAGGAGAAGTGTGAGAGCAGGGGCTTAGTCAGCAGTGCTCCCTGAAACAGGACAACCTAGGACACTTCCCCATGGATATGTATGTTCCTGATACCCCAAGTTGTCCTATTGCAAGCTCACTTCATTGTCGCTAACCACAAGCTCCCTCATCCAGAACGACTTCTGGTCCCCTTCTACAATTCAGACGCACGCTACCTGTCCCCAGGACTCACTCAAACCAGACCCTCACATACACTTAATTCATGGCCCCCAATCATAACAACCCAGTGTGTCCACTCAGTCCCTTACCCCATTTCTCAAAATCCACATGGTGCAAGGTTCCCATAAAGCCACCTGCTCCCCCATGGATCTCAAAACAAGGCACACATTTATATGCCATATCTGTATTGAGGGGTCCTATAGGGCTGCCCCTAATCATCATCTCCCTCTGTATCCTCCGCAGCTTCTGTAGCTTCCTGTTCGGTGCCTCCTCCTCCTGAGTGTTCAAGCACCTCCGTGGGCACCGAGATAGGTGTGCCACCTGTGGTTGACTTCTTGCTGACCGATGGTCGGTCCTTAGACAGTAGGGAGACTGTTCGTGACAGGTCGCATTTCCCATGGAGAAACTGTGGCAGGTGCAGCATGTCTTGGCGCTTGGCCCACCTGGTGGGGAGAGCATATTTCAACCAGAACCGCCTGCACCTTGTGTGGAGAGCCACGCCTACGGCCTCGCCCACCGCACTCACCAGAAGAGGCAGATACTGGCGATCAGGAAGACCAGGCTTCCGCAGGTCCAGCCCAGCGCCCACATATGCTTCCTGCGCATATTTTCTAGAAAAGAGGGAGGAGGAAGGTCCAGCAGTCCAGTGGTTGTACCCCTCACCCTCTGAAACATCCAATTTTGGACCAGGTTACTCACCGTCCGGCCGTTGATGATAGCACACACCATCCCGGTAGCAGCATCGCAGGCGAAGGCAGAGGTTGGGGTTCTCAATGGCAGCCTGACCCCCACAGCTCTCTCGGTCCCACACATCTCCCTCACAACCTGAGGGCCACCACAATAGACAGTAACAGAACTGGCCCTGAAGGCTACAGACACAAGGGTGCCAAGGCCAGGCTGTGGGGCTGGGGCGCTGTGTTTTGGACACTATTCTATATAGGACCCACAAGTCCAGACCCCAGACACCTTCCTTGAGAGGGTCCGTACCACAGCCCTCTTCCCTCAAACCTGGGAGTCAAGGCCCAGCTCTCCTTACTCAGACCTCAGACCCAGGGTTCTAGGCCCCAGTCCTTCAAATACAGGAATCAAAGCACTAGCCCTCTTCCATTATAATCAGAGTTTACAGGCTCTTCATCAACTTCAGACTTAGGGGTTGAGTCCCTTGATCTTCTCTCTCAGATCTAGGGGTCCAGGCCTTAGCACCCCTCTCTATACCCAGGGTTGAGTTCCCGGACCTCTTTCTTCTGGTCTGAGGGGTCTAAGCCTTAGCCTTTCGTCCAGACCTAGGGATCAGGCCCCACTTTTCCTCCCTCAGACCCAAAAGTCAAGGCTTCAGCCCTCCTTGAGACCCAGAGGTTGTGTTTCTAGACCCCGGAGTCCACACCCTAGCCTCTCTCCCTCAGACCCTGTAGTCTTAATTTGGGATCCCCTCCCTGGAGCCCCAGGATTTTGTCTCCTGCTTACTCCATGGATAGAAAAATCCCTGGATTCCATTCGCATCTGTGGGAGAAAAGGGGTGATGTTGGGAGATTGTATGGCAGCCAAGGTGGCCCTGTCCACAGCCCCCTAATGTCCTTATCAGTACCCTCACCTACTGAGCCCAGCATCAGCAGGAGAAGGCCCAAAGCTGGGATCCCAGACCCCACCATGTTACCTCCCCAGACCTCTGGGCCCTCTATGGAGAGAAACCTTGAAGGACATCACCCTAGCAACAACTTGGCCCCGCCCCAAAACCTCAGCCCCAGAATTCTTAGTTCTGTTGCCAGGGAGTTCCCTCAGCAAGGGGTTCACAAGGAGGGGTGCCCTGGACTCATCATTTCTATCTAGGAAGTAGCTTTCCTTAGCATCTATGGAGAAGAGGTGGGTGGGCATGGGCGATTTCAGATTTAGAGCCTTCTTAGCAAATGACAAGGGAATGAGAAACCAGGACCAAGCCTGGGTCTGGAGATGTCTCTCCTTTTCCATGGGGTACCTGCCAGGGTACAGATCTGAGACCGGAGAGGTCTTTGAGCTGCAGAATTCCTTTTTTTTCTTCCCTAACCCAGTGTCCAAACAGGCGGCCTCGAGTGGTCCAAGTTCAGAAAGCTTCATTGCTAGGGAGTCCGCTTTAGCAACTAGGAAAAATGGCCCTAAGACATTCAGGTCTCATTGAGCCCCATTGTTAAAGAAGGTTTCCCCAGCAACCAGATCCCAGGAAGGGATAGTGCAGTCTGGTGGAGGTGGCCCTGGGAGTCTCATCTCGGGCTGCACCAGGCCTCACATGCCAGGGACAGGACTGACCATGCCTGGCCCAGAGGAGCTTGAGGTGTAGACACTGTTAGTGGTTGTGATGGTGTCTCATGCCAAAAGTTCCAGGTCCCCACAGAGATTCAGTTCCCCATGCGGGAGCACAAACCAGAGCATCTCAGGTGGTTTTCTTTGTGTTTGGTCTATCCATGTTTGCCAAGGGACCAGGCTTACAGGAAGCCAGACTGGCACGGAAGGCAGTGTCTCTATGGTTCCTAGTTCACCTGAGTCAATATTCACTTGGCATAGTGAGAAGGGGACTTCAGTTCCTGACAGACATCTGCAATTGGCCCTGGACTCCTGGAGTGACTGGGGCATGGACCCCTGCGATGAGGGAGGGAGGAGGACTGGGAGATGGGATTCCTGGATCTGGGGTAGTGGTGAGGACTGGGGAATTGAACCCTTGGGTCTGAGGAAACGGGAGAGCTGGTGATGGGAACCATGGATTGAAGGGAAGAAGCAACGCTGGAGTCTGGATCCCTGGGGCTAAGTAGGAAAGGAAGACTAGGTCCTGATCTTTATCTGAGGGAGGAGAAGTGGGTCTACGACCCTAAGTGGGTCTGAGCAGGGAAAGCTAGGACCTGGAGTCCTGAAGCTCGGATATAAACCCAAGTCTAAGTAGGGGAGGAGGCTAGATCCTAAACTCCAGAATTTCAAGGAGGGTTCCCAAAAGTCTGAGGGAAGAGTTAGGGTCTGGACCCTTGATTCTAAGTCTAGGGCCTCCTGGACTCCAGATCTGAGGGAAGAAGGCTGGGGTCTGGGTTGTCCGTTCTGTGGGAGGGAGGGGTCTGAGTTCAGATCCTGTTTCCCAAGAAGCCTAGGAGGAGGCTGTATCCCTTTCATCCCCAGGGCCGTCAGTAAACATCCTAGAGGGTGCTGAGTGGGCCCTAGGCTGACTCCGTCAGAGATGACACAGGTCCGAGGGGGCTCGGCAGGGGGTATGGGGGTGGGGGTCAGAGGGGTTGTGGGGCTGAGGCCGGGCAGCTGCTGACCGTTTCCTGTGTCAACACCATCTGGACCCACTTCCCAATTCCCTGGATTCCTCAGGGATCAAGGAGGGGGTGGGGGTGGGGCTGCTTGGCGCTGGACTGCGGATTGGGATTGGGGGGGCACCGTCAAGGCCCTCACCACTAATGACAGGTTTGGGCTGCCTCTGTGGCTGACCTGCCCCGTCACCCCCCAGAGGCCAGACAGGACCCCCCAGGGACAGACAGACGGACACACACAGCCTGGGGTGTGCTGACATCACACCCAGCCAGCACCAGCTCACCCAGGGGTGAGCACAACATCAAGGCGCCCGTGGCTGGACCCCCACATCCTAGGGCCCCTCTGAGGCCTTCTGCTCTCCACCTCTCTCTGTTTTTGAGTACTCAAGCTGGTCTCCCCAGCACTCATCTTTCCTTGCATCTGTCTTCTTGTCACGGGACTTTGAGATTCTGTTTGTGTTTATTTGTTACTGTTACCTTCCGTCATTTGGGGGGATTCCCAGAGTCTCTCATCCCGTCTGTCTCTGTCTTATTTCCAGAGATTTGTTATCCCTACCCTCACCAAAGGGAGACCCAGGAGTCCCAAGTCCACTCTGTCCTTTGTGGTCACCCTGGGGACGATGAGTCTTTTCCCACAACCCTCAGGATGAAGAGTGAGGCAGGACTAAAAACTAGCCCCAGCCCACGACCCAGACCCATGAACTTCCTCAGACATGGAGGTCCCCCAAATGTTGGACATCACAGTTTTCTTCCACTTATATAAAAATGAGGATTTAGTACCCTGGGTCTGAGGGAGGAGGCTGGGGTCTGTACACTGGGTCTGAGGG